TTTCATATAGTAGGTTGTTTCTTCAGAATACTGATGGCCATGTGGTATTGAATTATCTGGTGAAATGTTTCTTCGTGCTCATTACCAAACATGATTCATGTGCAGAAGGATTAAGTCAACTCTAGTGTTCAATAGTAATCTGGAAATCCATCCTTTATTTGTTGGCATTTATCCTCGAACCAATTGTTTTGGACTAACTACGCGTGAGTAGCAAGCCCATGTGTTGTTTATAAGTTCATTTTGTTAGAGCTTTTTCCGTACATTTTATATGGTTTACCTCGTAATGATTTGAGTTTCTCTTGCTCTCTCTCAATACTTTGGTTGAAACTTGATACCGAATTTATGCCTTGCAGACGCCGATAAGGCGCACTGAACAACAGATGGAGATGCTGGACGAGCTTTCAGATGATGTTGATCAAATACTCCTGCTTCGTGTGTAATCATGTTGTATGAAAAAGTGTGGCAATACTACTGAGTCTCTGTTTTTAATTTCTTTTATTCCGTTCTGTGGCGGCTACCTGAATTGACTGATCGTTGTTATAACCACCATTTCACTGCCTTCCATGTTTATGAAGCTCCGGGATGATGAATAATGGATGATTGTCTTTGTTGTTCCTTCCAGTTTTCTGCGCATACAAAGCCTGCACTTTCATCTTCTAGTATTCGTGATTCAAAATATTTGAAAGGGTAAATGTTTGGACCTTTGGGGGTTTTATAAGGTAAATGCGGTTTTAGGCCCATACCTGAGGACCTCCACTGACCCAAGGGCCCAATCTTTCCTTAGGGTTTAGGGTAGGTTCTAACAAGGCGATAATCCTCGTATTAGTATCTCTCTCATTTCGAGATATACTACCTTCTTAGGTCTCGATATCCAGATCACGTGGCTGTCTAACCGCACATAACACACTTGTATTTTGTTCACAACCCTTTGTGCTTGCTGCCATATTGAAGCGGAGTGTTTCAGTCTATTTTCCTCGTAAAGATCGGCCAACTCTAACCCGAAGAATCGGTCTGGGGGATTTTCTAGACCAGGAATTAACTGCAAAAAAATTCGGTGGATAGGATACCACAAAGCATAATAGAATTTCCGTTGGGTCTTTCTTGTTACAATGATCATGATTTCATTGTTTTGGCAATCTAAACTAAAAGAAGGAAGTTACTTAGGTGATGGTAAGTAAATGACGATATGACTAGTGTTATTAATTGACATGTCATAATTTAAGTATACAACCTAGTTGATGTGCCATAGTTCAGAATGAAAAAAAAGAAAGTATTATAACATGAGCAAGTGATCATTTCGAACAGAATTACAGTCGTACCAAAAAACCAAAAAATTACACATAATCGTAAATGAGACGATCCTACATAAATCCAAAATATCACACATCTCGAGATGTTTAACTTTTGAATTGGATCCACCACCACAACCACAACCACATTCTCCCTCTACAAGTAGAAGCAAAGAATTTCGATTTTCCACCACAAAACAAATCCGCAAGGATGCTCTCTGCCCCTTTCTTGATTCCTTGTTTCTTTTTCATTAAATCTTAATCTTTGTTTATTAACTTTCTTAACAATCACTAATCAACTTGCAACTAAAATACTATTCGCTAAATCATGATTTATGGTACCCCACGTGGTCATGGTCCATGCTTTGACCCCACCAACCACCCCTGATTAAGTTTAGAGATATTCTCTTCTTAAAATTTACCACGTATCAAACTTATACTTGAAGATGTTTCGCTTTATGGATACATAACAAACTTTAATAATTCGAATAATGTCACAAAAACTCAAAATTAGTTGTAAAAGAGAATCTTTCCTTTTGTAATATAATATTCTTACACGAAGCAATTTTGTATGCCTTCCTCAAATCTAGTAACAACCTGCTTAAATCAACCCTCCCCAGTTTAAAATTGTATCAATATAATTTAATTTGATTGGAATTAAGGATGCTAAAGTGAAGCATTGGTCCACTTGTAAGGTCAAATCATATTCTATTATTTTGTATGCGCTATTTGAGTGTCTTACTCATCGCGTTGTATGCGTGTATATTTTGATGACAATGTAATATTTCGCCAATTCTCCTACACCAGTGATGTTATTCTGACGATGTCTCAAGTTAATCACATACCGTTATGAACATTAACATCTTCACATGACAGTTCGTGATTAATTTGAGATATTAAAAAATGGCATCCTTGTCTCAGTATGATCTCCGCTTACAAGAGTGATTTTTTAACTCCAATCGCCCCTTAAATTGAATAATTCAGATAAAAATCAATGGATAAAATTAAATATAAGAGTTTAGGAAGTTAAAATGGATGTACGGAAATCATTCCCCAATGTGCACCGATGGCAATGAAGTTGGCTACTTGCAGAACTTTGTGCACAAAATGGATAAAAATGTGTAATGACAAAGCTAAATTACAATGCTATTGAGGAAAAAGTTAGTGGCTTGGACTTATTACAAACATAATAATTTGTCAACACAGTAAATTTGCTTACATAACAGGATCGATGGCCCCATTGAAATTTTAACAATCATCCGTAGAAAAGATTCACTTGAAATTAAGTTGGTTATTTGATCTGGTCACCTGGGTTCCCTTCTGGTTGTTGATCTGGAAATACTCATGCTTCCACTGGAACATTCTTCTTCCCTACTGCTTGAAGAACTTGAAGACACAGGCGGAGGAGGCTTACAAGACCATGGAACAACTTGGTTGTCATCATCATCATCTTTATCCCCATCATCCTGCTCCTCGTCCTCGTCCTCGTCCTCTTCCTCGTAGTCTTCTTCTTCTTCTTCTTCTTCTTCTTCGTCTTGATGATGATTTCCTTCATTATTATTGACACAATTCTCGCAAACGGAAACAGTTGGACAGAGCTTGAGACCAGAGCCAATCCAGGGGGTCGGAGATTGGCAGACATGGCAGAGCAGAGTTCTTGAATGCTTAGCCACCAGAAAGTTTGCGCCGTGAACTTTGACGTCGCAGTCCCAGCAGAGGCTAGCTTGATCGGATTCGCAGTACATTTTTGCTGCAGAGTCACACAGCTCGCACTTCTTCATCTCTCTCTCTCTCTCTCTCTCTCTCTCTCTCTCTCTATGCTGTTATGCCCCTGGGTGTGTGTATATATTGTATCCGTGGCTCTGTGTGTGTATATGTATGTTTAAATATATAAAGAAAGAAGCTGAAAACAAATGATGCAGGCCAAGTTGCAGCTATTTGCATTAAAAACCGGCCCTGGTTTTTTCTTTTTTCTTTTTTATAAAAAAATGGAGAATTCTTTTCTTCTTCTGAGCAGGGAAAGATGCACAAATCACTCTCTCTCCTTAGGTTTATGAGGCAAGTTTATTGGCTAAACTGCCAAAAAATAACAGATAAAAAAAAGAGTTCTTTAGATATAAACCCTTACAGCTCTTTTTTTTTTTGATAAAAACTCATCTAATTCTAAATATACAAATAAAACTCAAATTTGAAAGACTGCCAAGTAGAAAAGTAATGACCTATTTTTACAACTTGTGCCACATATTCAAAATCAAATCAATAAATGTTATTATTCACCACAAATAATTATTGCACATACTACCCCTAACATATATATACACACACACACATATACACACGTTCAAAAGTATATAGTGCTACTATAAGTTCAATATATATGTATATATGTGTGTTTGTGTGTAATTTACCTATATGTATATAGTACTACTCTACGTTCAAAAATATATATATGCACAGTACTAACATATATGTTAAAAAATATTATATGTAAGTAATTTACCTATATGTAAATTTATGATTAACAAATAATATATATTATGTGGTAAATCAATATTGAATCAAATAACATTCCTTTATTTTGTAGGTAACTTATTTTTCATATATTATATGGCACATTTTATTATTATAAGATATATGTACAAATAAAAGGTAAATTAACTTCTAATCAAATAACATTGCTTTATTTTGTAAGTAAATTAATTCTGAATCAAATAGCATTCTTTTGTTATGTAGCTATTTAATTTTGTATATATCAATATCATATATATATATATATATATATATATATATTTGGCACATTTAATTATTATATGTACAAACAATAGGTAAATTAGTATCAAATAAAATAATATTATTTATTATGTAGGTAAATTATTTTGCCTACATATATTGGTTAAATTTTTTTTCTTTTTATATTTTATGTAATCTAACGGTTTAAAATTTTAATAGTGGGTACATTATTTGAATCAAATGTTTTTTTTATAGGTAAAATATTTTGCATGAATTTTACATCTATCAGGCATTATATATACTAGCCTCTCTGCACGCACTAACGTGCGTGCGAGAGGCATTTTTGCATCACGGACGCTACGCGCCCCTAAATGTGTATTATGTTAGTTTTGTTCCATTGTGGTTGTCAATGTATATGCTTTAGAAAGTATGATACCAAGTTTGGAGGTGAGGTATGAAATCTAGAAGATGACTGCTCCTAATTGGAAGCAATAAATTGAAGTTGTTGACGTGGATACTCTCTCACACGCAGCAATGCCTATTACGGTGTTCTCAAGCACGTGCGAAAGACACTTTTTAAATCACGGCACGCTACACGCAACTTACACATTTTAGATGTATTTATATGCGAGGATTGGTTCAAAGTATAGAAACATAAAATAAAGGCGATTATCATATCTAATAATACAGGCGGAATCTAAAGTATTTTGTCTAGAATATGTAAAAAAAAAAAGTAATAAATAACAGAGAAGATCCTTATAATTTAGTTGCAACTAAAAGTTAAATAAAAAGTATAAAAACAATCCAAGAAATTTAATTGACCTTGATGCACATGACACCAAAAAATATAATGAACTCATATCATTCCGTACTGTTGAAAATTTAATGCGTTTGGTTAAAATCAAATATTAGCATTATTTGTAATTGAAGTGCATTAAAAGTTGAAAAAGGGAATTAAACATTAAAAGAAAGAATGTAACCTTATGTTGAATTCGAGGGAAGCAAAATATCTTTGTACACAACATTTCTTGTGAAGACTCCTTCGTTACCGTGTAACTCTCCTTTCTTTACCAAGACTTTTGTTGTAGACGCTGAAACTCCTCTTGATAAAGCCACGTACAATTGTCCATGACTGAATACGTGATCTGGTAGATAAATACCCACATTTGGTATTGTCTGCCCTTGTGATTTATTTATAGTTAGTGCAAAACTCAATTTCACTGGAAACTGTTTTCTCATCATTTCGAATGGGAGTCCTGCACTTTCTGTGGTCTTTAAAGAGATTCTTGGTAAAAACACTCTAGTTCCAGCAAATTGTCCAGATAAGATTTCGGCATCAATTAGATTATTGTAAGCTCCATGGCACGCCAGTCTTGTACCATTGCACAACCCCATCTTCGGATCGATATTTCTCAAAAGCATTATCGGGGGACCTTTTTTCAAAGTTAACTGATGAGGGGGCATTCCACCAGGTGAGATTGAATTCAAGAATTCTTGTTGATACAAATTTCTCACATCGTCCTCAACTGAATCGAAAGAGTATAAGATATGTTCAATCCCCGGAAATTTATCGATGATCATTTTATTGATTTTGTCAGCATCCTCATTTTTTGGTGTTATAATTGCTCTTTCCACCAAGTATCTTGCATCACATACATGACATTCCAAATCGGGGAAAACTTCATTAACCAATTGGACAATGGATTCTTCACCATTCCATGGAATAACCATAGATGATGGTAATTGCATCATGTCGTCTATCATAGTTTCTTGTTCCCCATTACCAACATGAAGTAAGAACTCTGAAAAGTCTTGATCATTGATCATTGACGGATCTCATGTTATGCCTAAGACGAATGATTTTCACGTGTTCCCAAAATGAAGCATTAATCATACTTGCTTGCATCAATTCAGATCTTGTACCTTTTGGAACAACTGGAAGAACTTGTCGAAAATCTCCTCCAAAGATTATGACCTTTCCTCCATATGGTAGGTCAACGCCCATTATATCTTTGAACGTTCGATCGAGAGCCTCAAATGCAAACCTGTGTGCCATTGGTGCTTCATCCCAAACAACAGCTGATGTTTTTCTTATCAATTCTGCCAAATCTGACTGGATACTAATAGAACATGTGGAAGATGCATCTGGACTGAGGGGAATTTTAAATCTAGAGTGTGCTGTCCTTCCACCTGGTAATATGGTTGCTGCAATTCCAGATGTTGCTGTTGCCAATATAATATGACCCTTACTCCTTAAGGTTGCTAACAAAACACGATATAAGTATGTCTTTCCTGTCCCTCCGGGACCATCCACAAAAAATATGGCATTGTCTCGTTGTTCAATAGCAGACACAATCGAGTTATACGCTGCCATTTGGTCTTCATTTAGATTTTGTACCGCATTGAGGTCTGCTCAGAGATGTCAAGTGAAACTTCATCTTGTATTATCCTTGGAATTGTGTTGTCTCTAACACAATCTTGTGTTATTTGTGGTAAATCGTAATCAGATACAGACTTACTATGTTGCACTAATAGTCCGTTCAAGTCTTGCAAAAGCTTGTTCAAGATAGAAGTATTATTTGTGGTACTTGAAACAGAATAATCTTCCACCATAAATGAATGAAATTCATCCCATAATCTTCTTACTCCATGTGGCTCACAATAAACTAAGATGGTAACAAACAACCTTCGCAAAGCTGACGGCATGCGAATGTTAGTGGCTTCACAGAGACACTGTCTAATGCTATCATCATCTTCTAGCAAACCTCGTTGTTCCACTGCCTTCTTAAATGTTGGTTGTACAATGTCATTGACTGTTCTTAAGTTCTCAAATGATGTTGGTCCTCTAACATGATTAAGAAGGATGCGTAAGTAGAATTTTTCACCCTCATTCGGCGAGACTGCATATATCCGGCCAATAACTTTATGGTTATTCATCCTCTCACTCTAGAGTTTATCTCTTTGACTCCATTTGAACCGTTCAGGGAATTCCCGGTATAAGTATTGTCTTGCTTCCAGGCAAGTGGTATTCTTGGTAAAAAACTCTGTCAGCATAGTCATCGAGTTAGTGTCATCTGCCAAAATATCTGCTACTCTTTGGTGAGGGTAAAAATGAATAGTTTGTCCTTCAGGAAGATGAATTTGTAATCGTTCCACCGATGGATAAAGTCGATTAGTTACAAATTTGAATATTCTCCATAAAGCTTCAGGTGCACAAACCCATCTTGCATCAACAAACTGCTTTATTTCATCTTGAATAGGTTCATGATGGACTTCAAAAGCTACTCGGTCGGGACCTTTGTAAACATATTTGTACAGATACTTAACACTCTTAATGCTGCAACAAATCTCAACATTAATATGACAATCATATCTGAGGAGTAGCCATGAGTTGTACGGAATGACCCACCGATTATCCACCATTATACGTGCATTATGATCTAATGGGATTGGATCATGATTGTCTCTTCTACGATAGACTGGATAAGAATCATTTCCTTGAACTGTAGTTGGTGCAAATGGCTTAGGATAATTTCGTTTACAGCTACCACGTTTCATACAGGGTGATCGTGAATTGTGTATTCCACATGGACCATGTATCATATGCCTTAAGACGGCACCATACAATTCAGGCTCTTCATTTGGATTTGGTATTTCAGCCCGTACCACCTGATCATAATCATCTGGACTATTAAGCTTATCATTTTCTTCTAACATGAGAAGCATGTGAACATGGGGGAGACCGCGCTTTTGAAACTCAATGACATATACATATGCAAGAACTTTGCCTAAAACACCTTTTTTTATAACATCATTCTTCAACTCTTCAAATTTTGCACGAAAAACCCTTGTAAGCAAATCTGGTCGATCTTGTGGTGTTTGGCCAGGTAGTAGCTCATCACTTATTTCTTCCCAAGTTGGATTACATGTCATTGTTAGGAAAATGTCTGGTCTTCCATATTTTTGAACCAAAGTCATTGCATCTTGATACCTTTGATACATGTCTCGGGGACTACCAACAAAAGATGATGGTAATATAGTCCTACGACGACCGACGTCTCCTGTATTTGTTTTGTTATAAGTCGTTAATAAGTCTAAATATGTTTGTTTTGTTTCAACCCTTTAATAAGTCTCATTTAATGTGACAGAACATGAACTTAAAGAATATATGTTTTATTATAAACTGATTAGCTTCATACCTGCATTATTTTGTCCTGCAATTAATGAGTCTTGCAGTCCTCGATAAAATTCAGATCGAATTGTGTGTTGATTATTACGCATCCATCTAAGCTTTTGTGATTCGATCTTGACGTAGTTATCAACTACATATTGTTGCAATAGGCGGCCACCACGAAGTAGAAGCGATTCGTCATGTTGACGGATCTAAAATGATAAAATTCATTGTTCAACACAATATAAGTTTTAAAAATTAATATTGTATTCATAGAGATGAAGGTCTTAGGTTACCTGAAGAAGATACGAATAATAGTCACAACATGTCACTTTTCTGCTGTTGTTATTTCGAGTATTCACATCCCATCCATATGTTCCATAAGGTAACAACAATGGATATTGTAAAGGGTCATAGTAGCCGACACAGTCTTTGATACTCTTAAGTTGACCATCTGTAGTTTGCACAACAATATCTCGACCTCTAATGTTTTCTGATCCTTCACCACCTACTATGATTGCAGCAACCTGAGATGCAGATGGTAAACAATATTGTCGTTGATTCGCGGGCTGCTCTTTGATAATCAATCTACAACTTTGCAAATCTTGACGTTGCGCAAGGTGGTGAAATGTTTGCACAAATGGATTATATTGATTCAAGATTTGTTGGATTTTTTCAACCACACCTCTGTTTAGTGCTTCACTTTCTCTCATTCGATTGTCTATTTCATGAGCTGTGTCATATATATACATTTGTAGGAATCTCGGTCTACTATCTCTAATAGGCAAAAGACTTCCAATCTTATGATATATGGAACCTTGAGCACGAAATGTGTAAATACCACGTCTTCCAGTTGCTAGGTTTTCGTCAACATGAACTCCCATTGAAGTGAAGGCAAAAATGTGGTTGTAAGCTCGTATATTCTGCCTAAAATGTCTTCCCTCGGCAGATTGGTTGCAAAAAAGCTCAGTCATTTCAGGAGGGGACGGTGCCAATGGTAGAGCAAGCTTTCCACGTAAGCAACACATTTCAGATGTTTCATGAGAGAACAAACGGGCATGACAATCTGGACATGTGGTTGGATTTGGCATGTGAAATCTTGGGATTTCCATGTTTTCATTAAAGTTTCTAGCACAATTATGAATTGGCCTTCTTCCCATAGTATGATGTCGAGGTGGTACGTCCTCGTTAGGCTGGATCTCATTTTCATTAATGAGATTAAAAGCATCTGCTTAAAAAGGAAACATTAAAGGTGTTTCATGATTTAGAGAGCATAGTTGAAATTGTAGGTATTAATATTCAAAAGCTGATACCTTCATTGATGATGGGCAGATAACAATGACTCATTGGAGTATTCGAACTGAACGATTGCGTTGTTGTATTTTCTGTTATAATCAAATGAAATGGAAGTAAGGTAATAAGTAGTGTTTACAGTAATGATGATATTGATGTTTATCTTTTTCAAAGTTGTACTATGGTAGTTTGTGCGATTACCATTATTAGTGAAACTTTGTATTAGTCCATCCCGAGGCAAGCGTGTCCTATTGGATCGGGCAATTTGCCTTATATGAGTTAAGCGCATTGTTCTTGGAACTTGATTGCTGCTGCCTTCTCCAAACAGCACTATGTTTAGTCGTTCGACATGATTGCTACTGCCTTCATCGAATTGCCCTATGTTAGGGTGTTGAACTTGATCGGCATCACCACCAAATAGCATTATGTTTGAGCGTTGAATTTGTTGAACACGATAATTGGATCGTCGTCGTGCTAAATATTCGTGTCTTTGGCTTGAACTCATTGAATTCCGCCTCATACGTTGTTGATCCCGCCATTGCTCTCGTTGGCTTTGTGTCTCATCAGTAACATATGCATTTTGTTGCTCTAAACCAAGAAACGTAATGGTGCACGAAAAATATTAGTAAGCATAGAATATTATTTAAGTACCTACATACGTATTTTTTTTCCTTTTGTTTTTGTAATTGAATCATTGGTATACATTACGTTTTTTTTTATATTTTCGTTTGATTGAGACTGCCTAGGTCACATAATAAGTGGCAGAGGAAGAAGAAAACAAAGAAAAAGTGAATGTTTTGTATTTTGAGCTATTTTCTCTTTAAAGTCTGTAGATTTTAGTGATCAGAAAAGTAAAAACTGTGGATTGTTTTGGATGCCAGACCTTGGATGAATAGTATTGTTTATTTTAATTGATCACAGAAAAGAAAAACTCATTTTTTTTGGATGAGAGTGGTTTTCTTCTTGCCGTTTTCGGATGAAATGAATGCAACGCCAATATCTCTGAATCTAGGGTTTACTAAAATTTAGTGAATTTCATGCACTGAATCATTGATTTATGATTTCATTTCTCTGATTTGGGTTGTGCTTTTTGCTTCCTTTGATTTTGCATCTGTATAATTATGTGCTGCATGTTTTTGTTTAACTTCACAATTTTTTCCATTTAGTATCGATGTACTATATCTTTATGTGATGTTATTTTTATATTTTTCCCTTGACTATTATAGTTGAACTGTTATTCCAAGTTTACATAATATTCCTTTCCTTATTTGTTTATTTTTATTTATTTTTTTATTTTTTATTTATTTATTTATTTTTCTTGTTTGGAGTACTTGTTAAAACGTTGGTCACTATGGTAAATATATGCAATCCAAATGTTGAAATTATTATAGACATAACAGAATTATTAAATGGATGTTTGCATTGATAGTACAAAAAGGCAATGACAACTTAGAATCACTGATTTGTTCAATCTTAATATATTTGTCTTAATAATTTGTACAAAAATGTTAATACAACGTACGAATTGAATAGAGACAAAAAAATAAGAAATCATAGTTACCCGCAGATGTTGGTCCTATGTTTTCTTGGTTTACTTCCGTTTGATTTTGGACTATATTGATTGAGTTCAAGCGGGTTTGATAATTGGCACGTCGTCGTATTGAAATTCGAGCTCGCTGTGATGAATTCATAGATTGTCGTCTTTGTCTTTGTTGATTGCTCCTATGATTTTGCCTTTGTTGATTACTCCTACGATACCTTGGGTCTGACTGTTGAAAATTGTGAACATTTGTTTGTCCAAAGTCAACTTCTTCATTGCCAACCTACATTGAGAAATTGCTAAACATAATGAATTTTATTTTATTTTTGAAAAAGAAGAAAAAATATATCATATGTACAAAAGAGGAATAATGCAGATAAGGTAACAACCTCTGACATATCGCTTCTATCAATTCCCTCCATACTTGATATGTTGTAGTCCTCCAAAAATCTTAAAACTGAAATTTCAATTTGATGATTCTTAATAAAGGTAAAATTGAAGAAAAATATGAAAACATAAAAAAAAAAAATTAAGCTTACATCCATTATATATAGTTGAACCATAAATCATAAGGCAAAGGGAAAATACCTCTCTCTCTCTCTCTCTCTCTCTCTCTCTCTCTCTTCGTTTTTAAAAGGCCATCGGCTGCATTGCCTTCCTGAGGGCCTAATGGATGACCATTCTTGTCATCCCTTTCTATTTCATCTCTGGCAGGGAAAGTAGCCTATATATCATTTTATAAGATATTAGTATCTCCTCCTAGAATGGATAGAAATTTGTTGGAGACATCCTAATCCGTCTAAATTAGTTGGACCATATGCATATGTTAGTATAATGTATCAGATACTTTTTTTAATATAGATATTAATATTTTCTCCTAAAATGGAGGAGAAGTTATTCCGTTCTTGTTGTTTTATTTGTTTTTTTTCCCCAACATAACAAAATTGAATTTCTCTATTTAATATCTCTCTCCTAAAATAGAAAGCAGTTATTCACCTTGTGGCCTTTTTTTCACTTCTTTTATGCTAGGTTATACAAAGTAATTCTATGTTGTATCATTCACTTTTGAGAGGCTTTACTAAAAAACAAAGAACAGCAATTAAGTATTTTATATTTCTTATGAGCAATCACATAAATTCCAAGTTATTCAATACATTCATAAAATAACATGAAACACATTTGACATTTAGATCATACAAAACTGAAACCTCAGAATATGCGAAAAGAATTATCACTTTCTTACATAATAGGCTGAAAAGAGTAACTCTAAATTACTTACCTCTATTACGAAAATGTTACAATGGCAGAGAAAAAGGCCCCAAAAAATGAAGACCCACAACTCCTGGAAAAAAAAAGAAAACCAAATGACACGCATAAAAAAGGAACTCACAAACAAAACCCATGTAAACACAGAGAACGAATCCAAAAGAGAACCCAAGACATGAAGAAAGTTAGAAAACTCTCATAATTAAAATAAAAAAAGTTGAATAGCTCATTACCATTAATAAATCAATAACCAAATAACAAAATTTTGCATTCTTTAATTTGTTCAAAATTAATTTCATCTTCGTCTTCTTTCAAATCTGATAAAATCCCCAAAGCACAAAAAAAAGTAGCTAACTATTTTTATACCCTATAAACAACGATATGCATCTTAACCCATTTAACATATTCATAAAATAACATCAAACACATTTATGCATCAGACCATATAGAAGTGAAGTCTCACAACATTCATAATTCCCCTGTTTTCATAAATTAACCACAAAACAGGAGAAAATAATTAGTCTTTGTTCTTGGAATTTTTTCATAAGTGGTAAAAACAAATTTGAAACATCCAAATTAGAAAATATGAAACGAAAACATGAAATGATTTCCGCAGGACCTTATCTCTGCAAAACCTACAAACCACGTTTACTTCAGTTACATAATCAGAAAAAAAAAATTAATTATATTAACTAATCTGGGTTAAAATCACACCTCAGGCTGCAAGTAGAATCAAAACCTTGGAATTTCAAATTCACTGACCTTAAACACACAGGTCTTCGCAGGCTCCAAAGAACAGTCACAAACTCGAAAAACCCAATCTCCTGAAATCGAAAACAAAACCAAATTAACCATCATCACCTATAATCCGAAGCTACAAAACAAAATTCCCAAAATCACAACCAAAAAATTTGAACAAAAAACCCATTTAAAATCCAAATTTACACTCGCAAGCACATTACATTCAAAGCAGACAATTACCCAAAGAAATTAATTTCATCTTTGTCTTCTTTCAAATCTGATAAAATCCCCAAAGCACAAAAAAAAGTAGCTAACTATTTTTTATACCCTGTAAACAACGATATGCATCTTAACCCATTTAACATATTCATAAAATAACATCAAACACATTTATGCATCAGACCATATAGAAGTGAAGTCTCACAACATTCATAATTCCCCTGTTTTCATAAATTAACCACAAAACAGGAGAAAATAATTAGTCTTTGTTCTTGGAATTTTTTCATAAGTGGTAGAAACAAATTTGAAACACCCAAATTAGAAAATATGAAACGAAAACATGAAATGATTTCCGCAGGACCTTATCTCTGCAAAACCTACAAACCACGTTTACTTCAGTTACATAATCAGAAAAAAAAAATTAATTATATTAACTAATCTGGGTTAAAATCACACCTCAGGCTGCAAGTAGAATCAAAACCTTGGAATTTCAAATTCACTGACCTTAAACACACAGGTCTTCGCAGGCTCCAAAGAACAGTCACAAACTCGAAAAACCCAATCTCCTGAAATCGAAAACAAAACCAAATTAACCATCATCACCTATAATCCGAAGCTACAAAACAAAATTCCCAAAATCACAACCAAAAAATTTGAACAAAAAACCCATTTAAAATCCAAATTTACACTCGCAAGCACATTACATTCAAAGCAGACAATTACCCAAAGAAATTAATTTCATCTTTGTCTTCTTTCAAATCTGATAAAATCCCCAAAGCACAAAAAAAAGTAGCTAACTATTTTTTATACCCTGTAAACAACGATATGCATCTTAACCCATTTAACATATTCATAAAATAACATCAAACACATTTATGCATCAGACCATATAGAAGTGAAGTCTCACAACATTCATAATTCCCCTGTTTTCATAAATTAACCACAAAACAGGAGAAAATAATTAGTCTTTGTTCTTGGAATTTTTTCATAAGTGGTAGAAACAAATTTGAAACACCCAAATTAGAAAATATGAAACGAAAACATGAAATGATTTCCGCAGGACCTTTTCTCTGCAAAACATACAAACCACGTTTACTTCATTTACATAATCAGAAAAAAAAGAAATTAATTATATTAACTAATCTGGGTTAAAATCACACCTCAGGCTGCAAGTAGAATCAAAACCTTGGAATTTCAAATTCACTGACCTTAAACACACAGGTCTTCGCAGGCTCCAAAGAACAGTCACAAACTCGAAAAACCCAATCTCCTGAAATCGAAAACAAAACCAAATTAACCATCATCACCTATAATCCGAAGCTACAAAACAAAATTCCCAAAATCACAACCAAAAAATTTGAACAAAAAACCCATTTAAAATCCAAATTTACACTCGCAAGCACATTACATTCAAAGCAGACAATTACCCAAATCAAATCGACAGCAGGAGATGCAATCTTTTATGGGCTTCAAATTTTCTTCAAACCGAGACCAAATTCGCTATTCTTCAGGAAGAAAGCGTTGCTGTTTGTAACCCCCGATGAAAAGATCTAAACAAATTTGACTAACAGTAAACAAATTTGATTTATTCAAAAACCAAAATCAGATGCCAAAAATCCATAAAATTAAAAGAATTAAAATATGGGTTTTATTAATCGGGTAGTGAATCACTACAATACCACGAATGATGCTGAGAACTGAAACCTGTAGAGAAATAATAGTGAAAGAAGGAGAGAATATGGAGTGGTAGGCTTGCAGTTAGAAAACAGAATGAATAGAGTTGTACGTGGAATTGTGTGAGGAAGAAGTTTGATCAGAAAATGGGGGAATAGAAGATAGACGTGGGTGGGTTGGTTTCCTTGTATGGAAACTGCTATGCAGTTTGAAAATTAAACGTGCTAATCCTGAAGATTTTTCTCCACACGTTGGTTGTTCTCTCTCCTAAAATGGAGGAGTTATCTATCTAAAATGGAGGAGTTATCTGTTTCTTTTTCTTTTTCTTTTTCTGTTAATAAAACAATTTTTATATTTTTGTATTCTGACAAAAATGTCCATGAGTTTTTTAATGTATTATACTGTGTCGGTTTTTGTTTTTTTTTGTTTGAGGGTTATTTTAGTCTAGATTTTTTTGGTGAAGCCTTGAGACACCAAAGTTGATTGCTGGCTTTCTAATATTAAAGATATATATATATATGTGTGTGTGTGTGTGTGTGTGTGTGTGTGAAATAATTTACCTAAAATATAATTTTATTGACTTAATTGAGCATGTATAATAACATATATTAGACATGTTTTATGTTATTATATATTAGGCAATGAATTAACAACATATATATATATATATATATATATATTTTGGTAAAATCACTAATTCTCCCTTACATAGGGGTGTTTTTTTTTTTTTTTTTTTTTTGTACATTAATTATGTACATCAAACAGTCAAATATGGGTATTTTAGGCATCCGAAATTTTTTACATGTGTGAAGTCAAACATACTTAATGAATTTGCTGATGTGGAATCTAGTCAATGTGTTTTATTCAAGTAAAACACTTATGTTGGGTTTTATGTGGAGAAAATTAAGTTTTAGGGGCTAAAGTCATATTTTCAGTTATAAAAGCATCTGACAAATTTTAACAGTAACAACTGAAAAATGCTTCCATGTTATGTAACATTAACTGCTATTAGCATTGAATTGTGTGGATTAATTTGGATTATGTTGCCCAGTGAATCTAAATCATCCAATGCTCGTAGCATTTAATATATGTAGCACCCAAGTGGAACTTGTAAAAAGTGAGAACATTGATGTAGGCATTATATATTATCAGCATTGGATTATATGTATTGGTTTGGATTATGTTGTCCATTGAGTCCAAATCATCCAATGCTCATGACATTTAATGTTATGTAGTACTGAGCGTTTAGACTCATATGAGTTCCTACTCTATTAGAAAGGTAATACAAATGTAATATGAAAAATATATGATAAAAATATCATTTTTGTGTTTTTAATGTCTTGTAGTAGTACCTTATAAAGTTGTTAATTTTTACACTTCTTGTAATGTATTTTTTTAACAAATGAGTTCAAATTTTTTTGGTTATGTTAAAGTCACTTGCGCGCACACATACAAGAGAAACAAATCAGTTCGCGACTGATTGTAGTACTTCTAATGTGAGTTTAATCATGAATGAGAAGAAATTAGGTGCACTCAATCAGCACTTTTGAAAACTCAAACCTAAAATTTGCCACATCAAATGGCACTAACCTTGCAATGGATGTATTGGTGTGGGGTAGGAATGAAATATGCTATGGATTTTTGTGTTCGGAGTTTGTGAATTAAGAGATTCGGACTTTTCAAGAGAGACAGAAAGAGATCTGAATCGTTTAAGTTTTTAGGTTTTTGTGAAGTGAGTCAGTGAAGTAGGTTAATGAAGATCGTAAAATTAAAATTGAATGGTCTAATTCTCTCAGTTCCTAGATTCCGGACACAAAAATCTAAAGTGAATCTCGTTGCACTACTATTAGAGAGTAGAGAGTTGAGGTACACCCTTTGGGCCCAATTCAAGAAATCTGTGGTTGGTCGGCACTCACTGCTCTTTGAATTTAGACACCGAAATTGGTGAAATCATCAAAGATAAATAAGCTCAACACGACAAGTCTCAGTTTTATTTATAGACTACACAGGTGTCTGATTTGCAGTGAACTACAAAATCTTGTGGACTCACGCGTTTGTAAGCTTTAAAAATATTTCATCTGGGTAGTTGTGATGATTAATTTAGAGGTTGAAATTTGGTTTTCATTAGAACAAATGCTGTCACGTGGCTTCTAAAATTTGGGCTAATTAGAGGAAGTCACTTTGGGTAGTTGGTAGCTTAAAAATAATTCGGATCTTCGATTTGTGCGAGGTGAACTATCGAATGAGTTAATAAAGATCGTCCGATTCAATTTGAATGTTCCAAATTGTAAGCTCTAGACAATGAAATCTGAAAGAATCCAAATTCATGGCAATGGTGAGAGGTGTAGATAAAGCAAGAACCATAAGAAAAATAGCCATGCAATATGACGCTATTACAAGTTAAGTCAATTATACATTGTCAGATACAAAATTAATTATAAATAAAATTTCCAAACAATAAAAATCTCTAACGTTATATGATTAGTTTAAGATAAGTATCATGACGATAAGATCTCCCAAAGTAGTTAAATCTCTTTCGAATGGTGTGTGTCATGTATATGGTACTAAAAACCCATCAACCTTTGTGAGCTCGGCCAAAATTCGTAGTCCTGATGCTGTTGCAATATTGCGTAGCGGAAAAAAAAGGAAGACAAAGCGTGTGGATAGGGAATGGGGAGTACGAAGTGGCCTGGTGTTCAATGTCCATTTCCACTCAACTTGAAAATTGGATAACTATAGCTTATTAACCTTGCCTACATAGACATGTATATTTGTGGTCGAGGTTTTTAGCAGTAGAAATTCAAGGGGCGGTTGTGACACTGTTTTTCTTTTTTGAACCCAGTGGACCAAGTAGTTCTGTGACTCTGTGGGAAGGCTTTGAAAACCTAATGTACTGTGTACTGTGTATAGGACCCAACTTACCAAATTTGTTGGTGGATGGATGATGACAGAATTGTAATTTAAGTAATTATGCTACGAGCATTATCATGCATTACTGCAAGTCCTCTGTTCGGTTTACTGTGTATAGGACCCAACTTACCAAATTTGTTGGTGGATGGATAATGACATAATTGTAATTTAAGTAATTAAGCTACGAGCATTATCATGCATGACTGTGAGTCTTATGTTCGGTCTTATCTTTCGATAAGAGACTTGCAGATGAGATGATTTCCACTATTTCCCAAACTCAAAATTCAATGGAACCGGGTTTTGATCTCACTCTCATGCCGGTCTTAGACCTTTGAAAGAACTTGACTATAAAACTAATTCGTAGCTAGCTTCATGTGTTAGAAGTTTCTATTTAAATTTTCAAACAAGACTGAACAAATTAATAAGGGCTCGTTTAGAAGGGTTTTAAAATGACTGAAAATACTTCTAGAGAAAATGTTTACAGGTTCCAAAAGCAATTCAAGTGTTTTTTTCAAGATTCATTTATATTTTTAAAAAAGATTGAATGTTAGGGAGATTCAATTTACAAACTAAATGATGAGTCACCAATAAGAATAAACATATTTATCAATATTTAAGTAATCAACCAATCATCAACTTCCATGTCCATTAATTTTTAAAATTTTGTCTCTAAATTTAATCTCGCTAGCATTACCCATTCTAAAAACTTTTTTTTTTGGGCCCATGCATCCATTTAAAAGCAGTTCCAAATAGACCTTAATTTATTTTAAATTTAGTGGACTGGGCTAATTCCATCTAGGCCATAACATGATTCGGATTTCAGAAGAGTCCAATATTGTGATACTATGACCAGGACACCCAATTTAAATTGTTAGGCATTCCCCCCCTCCCCTCCCCTATTGCCCAATTGTCATGGCATTGGTATTGACATTAGATAACCGCGATGACAGTCTTTAATCGGGTAAAGTTATACTCGGACAATTACTTTTTAGAGTGAATAGTAACTCTCATTGCTCTCCCACAGCTCTTGTCATGGCACAATGGGTGAAACTGATCTTACTTGAACCCAATCGACCTCCTATATTGATCTCTGTTTTGGTAAATCTATAATTCAACCTCTAGTTGATAGAAAAAACTTCAAAGTCAGTAGTTTTGCATAACCAAATTCAGGGGAAAAGGATTAAAACAATAAATTCACGTGAGAAAAATTATTTTATTTGAAGCGTTTGCAGCTTTAAAAGAGTGTCAAAATTATTTTCTGAATAAAAAAAAAAACAAATAATGCAAAGAAGAGTAGTCTCTTCTATTATTTAAGCTACCCGAAATTACAAAACTAGATGAACACCAAAGAAATTAAAGAACATGAAATTCCCATATAATTAAGAGATCGAGATCCAACATTTCATTACATATCTAAAGCTTCCACCAATAATTCTTCAGAACTTTGCATTATGGCAGGGCTCAATCTGAACATGAGGGTGCAAAATTCCATCTCATCCAAGGTGCCATCACCGTCCAAATCACCTTCCTTGAGCATGCACATGATCTCCTCATCGCTCATGCCTTGCAATCCAAGCAACACCGAGTTCTTCTTCAAGCTCTCAAACGTGATCACGCCCTTCTCTCCGTCCTTCAGCAACCGAAACCCTTTCGACAGCTCCTCCATAAACCCTTCTGCTCCCAGTTTCTCAACCATTGCTGGAAAGAAGTCTTCAAACACAATAGCCCCATTTCGACAAGCCATTGATTTAATAGATTCCAAAGTGAAAATTTGATGGAAATGAAACTACGGCTAGGGTTTATTATCCTATAGTTTGTCCGGGGTTACTGTGCTTGGAATTTCGAATATTTTATGTGTGGAAAAGTGACCTAGGGTGGGTGGTTTATATATTAGAAGGGAAATTGAGTGAATTAATAGAGAACATGAGGAAGATTTCGAGGAAAAAGGGGTGGCTGTGGATGGCAACAAATTAAGGTGTACAGATAAGAGAAAACTTATGTTGTTGCTTACCGGCATGGTCGAAGTTGGCTCTGTGTGTTACAGTTGGTGAGATGTTTCATTTCTGAGAGGCTTCTCTTTCCCGGAAATTACATGGGAAGGTCCAGAAAATAAAGAGGGTCAGGTAGTCCTGGTAAGCAATTAATTAGCATTTTCCTGTGAAAAGATGAAACTTGGCCATTTTTGGCATTCACGGGCTCTTTCCAAATCAGCATCTAATGGTTCTGACAGCTAGCAGATACAGAATTTTGCCACAATTAATATGATTAGTTTTTTTTTTTTTTTGATAAAGTCATATGGTATATGATTATGTTGTTATTTTGGAAAATGTGTTATTGTGGAGAGAAACTTACATGAAACAGATTCACTGTCACATAGCGTTTTGATTCAAGAATACATTGTTATGTGGAGGAAAACTTGCACATGACAATGAACTATTAGACAAAAAATGTCGTATGGCCAGTGAATTCATTCATATAAATCCTTGTTATCATGGAGTAAATGGAATAGCATCATATGTTATAATCATATTATGTGTTAATATGCATGGATGAGATTACAAAGTTGTTGATGTTCCCACTTTTAGTAATATCGTATCAACAAAATTCACTCATAATAAAATATGTATTTAAAGTGTCGATGACAGTAACGTATTGATGATGCACTTAAATTGAGGGAAATTTTTTAGGTGTGACAGTCCTTCGATGTCAAGTATTATAATATGAATTGAGGATAGAACTAACATTTTTTTACTTATGGTGTCATGGATAAAATACATACGTTACGACACAAGTAACTTGTCACATCATGTGTTAGTTTGATAGTGTTGCCAAATAATTATAATTCTTGAATTGTGTAGGACTCATTGTGTGGTAAGAGTGACTTTTATAAAGTGTGATCATGTAAGAATTGCATGGAGTTGAATTCATTTTTCTTTTTCTTTATTGAGAAAATAAGTACTCTCTAATACTAAAATTTGGAATTCCACAAAAGTGCCTTTACTTTCTTTGCAAGTAATACTTCTAGTAATTCTTTCCCACAACCAAATTCAAATGGTAGAAGAGTATCCCTGTGCATTTACCTAATCAAAGTAAATAACAAGACAATCCCTAATGTGTATTAGCCGTTAATTTACCTAATCAACATCTGCGAAGTTTTGCTCGTTGAAAAGAAAGTGATGTCTATGCAAAATTCCACGTAGTACCTCCCCAAAATGAACATGGAAGGAAATTGCCTATCAATTTTGCTTTGAATGATACGCTACGTTTTGTACCTTCCAAGGGGGAAAGAGGCAGTATACAGCTGCAAAATTGAGTACATCCCTACAACTAAGAGTCCATTAAAATTTACATGAAACAATTTGGCGTATTATAATGTGGAATTTAAGAATACGTAGTAATTAAAGAAGAATAATTTCAAAGATATGCTAAAAAACTACAGAAATGACAGATAATAGCCATGAAAAAGTTATACACGCCCTAATATATACAACAATAACAAACTAAGAGATCCTAACTAGAAGTTACAGGCAAGAGCTTCCTCCAAAAAGTTTTTAGAAGTTTCCATCAAAGCAGGACTCAACCTAAACATGAGAGTACAAAACTCCATCTCATCCAAATTCCCATCACCATCCAAATCACCTTCTCTCAGCATGCACCATAACTCCTCGTCACTCATCCCATGAAACCCCAATAATGCAGAGTTTCTCTTCAAGCTGTCAAATGTGATCAGGCCGTTATCTCCGTCCGTTAACAACCGCAACCCGTTGGACAACTCCTTCATGGACCCTTCTGCTCCCAATCTCTCCACCATAGTTGGGAAAAAAAAAAAATAATAATAATCCTTATATGACATGAGACACATTTTGTGAGGCTTGGCAAGTCGTGATTGACGTTTTGCAAGGCTTGGCATGTCATGACCGACATTTTGCGAGACTTGGCATGCCATGATCGACATTTTGCAAGGCTTAACATGTCATTGCCATGTCGTGAGGCTTGGCATGTCTTGATTGACATTTTGATAAGCTTGGCATGTTTGGAACCAAAAATCTGCCGCAACAAAGGTACAAATGCTTTAGATTATTAATTTGTTTTAGGATTTATGACTGCCAAGGAAGATTTTTTACAAGTTTACATTTGGTTTGCTAATTGAGAGTATACAGAGTTGGATCGGGTCGGGATCCTATTTGTTTGTGGTTTGGCCCTGCCCCACCCCGCCCCGCGCCACCCGCCCCATTATTGCTTCAAATATTTTTATGATCCTCCCCAATTCCCCCGACCTGCGGGTCCAGTCCCACCATTGCACTAGCCGTTTTATCTTTTAAACATACCCTTTAGTAAGAGGGATTCTCATTTATAAAAAAAAAATGGAGATAATTTTTTGACTGTTTGATTTGACTTTAATAAAATTGTGTGGTTGAGATTGTGTGGCATGTGATTTAATCTCAACCACACAATTTTATTAAAGTCAATCCAACGATCAAGAAGGTATCTTTATTTAAAAAAAAATAAAAAAAGAGATCCCTCTTGTTAAAGGATCCCATCTTTTAAATATCTAGTTTGATTTTTGTCTCTATCTGCTTCTCACTTCATTCCTATGTGCTCTTTCTTACGAGCTCTCTTCAATTGCTCAGCCATGGCGCCCATACTCACACTCAAACAGAAAAAAGGGTCTCTTTCAATTTCTCTGCTCCACTCTTTCTCCTTCAATTTTCATTCCTTCCCTCTCTTTCAATTATCAATATTTTTTTTTTTAATTCTCAATTGACGAGGAAGAAAGCAAACGATTCCACTCTTTCTCTTTCAATATTTTTTTTTTAATTCTCAATTTTGTAGTATCTTAAGAACAATGACGAGGAAGAAAGGAAACGATTAGAAGAAAGAATGAAGGATTGGAACTATTTTGTAAGTTTGCTTCTTCATTAAACTTTCTTATTTTTTATTTTAGTTTTAGTTTCAGAATACGTTATCCTTGAATTTTCTTTCATATTTTTCTGTTTTCTTGAACTTGTGTATTGTTTCATTTTATTTTGTTTTATTTTTTGTATTTTGTCTAAATTTTAATTTCAGAAAGAACGAAACGTTACTAAGAAGAAGCATACTTTTGTCAGTCTTGCTAAAGTTGGGGATGGATGATTCCATATGATGTTGTTCCTAAAAATAAGTTGGAGACTCATTGGTGGGTTATCATACAGTACATACACACAACACGAGTATGTAGATGTCTATGGTTATAAGACACAATTGAGGATATTTATGATATACTCCCAATTTCACTGGCGAAACTAATGTCGGACAACTTCACTAGCCACGACTAGTGTCGGTGTGTTATGTATATTTTTTCTCTGGCATAACCTAGAGTCGTACGGCTTCACCTTCGGGTGATGGGACATTCATATTTCTTCACTATCGTAACCTAGTGTCGTATAGCTTCACCTTCGGATGATGGTTATGCCTTCGGACTGAATATGATACCCCAAGTTGAGTACATCATTGATGTGATTTACAAATTACAGATGTTTTACGGATTTTCCTTCAGACGAATATATTACTATTACTGACCACTGGTTTACACGTACATGTTTTACGAATGTTTTTCATGGCATGCTAGAGTTTTCAGAAAATCTACTATGTAGTACTATATGAGTTTTCAAATAGGGGATTAGTATGTTCAGAAAGAAAATGATTTCTTATTATTGGTAGGAAATTGTTATTGACACTCCAAAAATCTCATTTTGCACTCCAAACTTTCTATAATTAGAAAGAAAAAAACATTTGTGAGGAGTGTAGAATGAGATTTGTGGAGTGCTAATAACAGTGCCCTTATTGGTATTATTATTATAAACTTTGGTCTACTCACTTTTTGTTTTTGCGCCCCCTTCAGAACATAATGATGAGGAATACGACCCGAGTATCGAGGCATTTCCCTGCCAATAACTTGAGTTCTTACACTTGTGTATGGTTTCTTTATGAATAATTGTAACTTGATGTCTTATCTTTTACTAGTACTTCTATTTATTAGTATGCTCTGGACATATTCGTAGATCTTTTATTTCTGATTTGTACTTGCTAGACATTCTATTTCTTTCATGTTTAATTTGGATTATTATTATTACCTCTTAGCGTTTGTATATTCCTTATGATTATTGTTGTTACATGATTTTTGGATTACTTGTTCCTTCATATCCTAGCAAATTCATGTATTCATGGCTTTCGTCACTCTTGAGTGACGGCCAACACGTGCCATCAATGTGTCATTTGGATATCTGGTTGAGACGTGTCATCGGGTCGTACCTTTGATCGGGCTTCCATCCAACGCTGGCTCGATGCCGGCCACCGTACCTGCCCAATTTCCAAACTGCCCCTTCTCGATCACCCTTCCCTCATCCACAACCACGCCCTCCGCAGCTTGATTTCCACTTATACCCTTCTGTCCCCTGCCAACTTACAACACCAGTACCACCACCACCAATACGTACCATCACCACCGCCAGCAACGCCACTCCCACTCCTAGCCCCAAACCCCAATCTCGACGCTTACCTCCCCAGCTTCCACCCTCGAGTCCAAGCTCGACTCGCCTCTCCAAGTGCTCTTCCACGCCAAGCTCACCAAGTCCGACACCGTCTCCGCCGTCCTCAAGTGGGTCGACTCGTAAGAGATGTCAGCTTGGACGACGACAACAAAATGGGTCTTGTTGCCAAGGGTGCAATCGCTCGAATCGTGGAAGTTCTCCAAGGTGGGTCCCCCAACAGCCGCGCCGTGGCGGCGACGATGCTGACAAGCTTGGCCGTGGTAGAGGTCAACAAGGGCACAATCGGGCCATACCCGTATGCAATTCGGGCTCTGGTTTGGCTCCTCAGGGTCGGCAAGAGTCGAGAGCAGAAAACGGTTTGATTTAGTTTGAAACGGTTTAATTTAGTTTAATTAGTTTATCTGTTTTAATTAGTGAACTTGGGTTTGGGGGAATAAAACGGTCTCCACGGTCCTCCTTCGTTCCACTTTCATCACCAATTACTTTGAGAGAAATTCAGCTAAGAATTTTCCAGTAAGGTTTTGTGACTCAAAGGATTATCTGTACATGGTAACGCCGCACCATTCTCATTGTGCACGTTAACAATACAGCATTCGCCGCCAAGAAAGGTATGAAGCTTCCAGTTCTCTGTTTTCCTTTCTTTTCCGACTCTGAATTCAGTTTCGCTACTGCATTCACTTCGACATTCCTTCTTATTTGTAGTTTCCGGAATAGAAGAGGGTTCTTGACAGTGAAGAAGCTGATGAACTTGAGTCAAGAAGGAAGAACTGGGTTGAATTTGTAAGCAGAATTCTTGAAGTTTCGTTATTTAAACTTTTTATCCATGTTTCCTTCTCCATTGATCGCTTTCTGCTTATATTTATATATTCAGACGAGAAAAATGTCAAAGAACCCGAGGATGAAGTTGTTTCGTAAATCTGGGTCTGTGGAAAACTAGATGGTTGATCATCCAGATGATCATAATCTCCTGAAAGTACTCAATTCAGAAAGGATGAAGGCAAAATGGGATGGTGTTGTCCCGACTATGGTTTTGTTGGAAGAAAATGGCTGAAAATGTACTTTTATTGGCAAACAGTACAGCTTCGACCATTTTCTTCCAACTGTGATGAAACCGTAGTCGGGCCAACACCATCCCATTTTGCCTTCATCCTTTCTAAATCGAGCACTTTCAGGAGATTATGATCATCCGGATGATCAACCATCTGGTTTTCCACAGACCCAGATTTACGAAACAAATTCATCCTCGGGTTCTTTGACATTTTTCTTGTCTGAAAATACAAATATAAGCAGAAAGCGATTCAATGGAAGAGGAAACATGGATAAAAAGTTTAAGGAACAAAACTTCAAGAATTCTACTTATAAATTCAACCCAGTTCTTCCTGCTTGACTTAAGTTCATCAACTTCTATGCTGTCAAGAACCCTCTTCTCTTCCGGAAACTACAAATGGGAAGAAATGTCGAAGTGAATTCAGTAGCGGAAACTGAATTTGGAGCCAGAAAAGAAAGGAAAATAGAGAATGGGAGAAGGATAAAAAGTTTCATACCGTTCTTGGCAGTATGAAGCTTTTCATCCTCCTCCCATTCTCTGTTTTCATCCTTCATTAAACACTTGCCTAGTACCATCAGAACTGGGCAATCTGTATTTAAGGTAATTCTTTATTTATTTTTATAAGTTAATTTTTGAACGAACACTTCTGTAAACATGTAGCGTATTTTTGTATACAGAAAGAACCAAAGGCCGAGGAAGCAGTGGAAGATGACGATGCTGAAGGAGATCACTAACCAGGTGGATTATTTGCAAACTTTTGATCTAAAATCAAAGTACTTTTCTTGTTTATATTGCATTGTTTTGTTGATATCATGTTTATATTGGATTTTGTTGATGTTGAATCCAAGGTTAGTGCTTTGAAATTGATAGGTTACATGAGTTTTATTGATTACTGATATTCTTTTACGTTTTAAAGTAGGTGGACAAATGCTAGGATAGAGTAGGTGGACGCAAAATGTTAAAAAATAATTTAAAAGAAAAGGAAAAATCAGGTTGATTTTACAATCCAATCCAATCCTTGGCACCAATTGATTCTTAGCCAGTGTGCCGTATGCTTTGCATTGTGAGAATCCTGTCTGCCTATGAGTGTTATTCGACCCTGGAAGTAGCTAGCAATATTCACCAGTAACAATTAGATGGGTTGACACTTGGGAGGTTCCTCCTCAAGATAGCTCGGTCGTTGCACTGTGCAGGGTCTTTAGGCATCATGATTGAATGTGCAGTCCACATGTGTGAGTCGGTTTGGATGAGTTCCACACATGTGATTGAATCTTACCCGGCATGCCATATGCTTTGCAGTGTGACACTCCTGTTTCCCTATCAGTGTTGTTTTGAGTCCTGTTAACCCTGGAATTAGCTACCAATAGTCACCGATACTAATTGATTTAATGTGTTGAAAGTGTATACTTGAATATGCAGTCCACATTGTGTGAGTCGGCTGGATGAGTTCTGTATAGTAGGCTGTTTCTTCAGAATAAGTATGGCCATGTGGTATTGAATTATCTGGTCAAATAGTTTCTTCATGCTGATTACCAAACATAATTCGTGTGCAGAAGGATTAAGACAACTCTAGTGTCGATGATAATCTGAAAATCCATCTTAATTTCGAACTTACTATGCGTAATTTGTTGGCATTTCAAACTAACTATGCATGAGTAGCAAACCCATGTGTTGCATCTGGTTTGTATGGTTTACCTTGTAATTATTTGAGTGCATCTCGCTCTCTCTTAAGATCCGGTTTTAATGATGATATGCTCTAAAGTTCTTGCTAACACTCTTTAGATCCGGTTTTAATGATGATATGCTCTAAAGTTCTTGCCAACACTCTTTATTTTACTTGTATGCAGTTCTGAATCAGCTAACGTAGATGATTTTGATAAAGGGTTGTCCTCTCAGCGATGTCTGTGATCCTTTAAACTTCCGATGTGCATATTGTGGTCATCTTACTCCAATCAAATAACACAAAGCAAAAAGAAGAATTACTGCAAATAATAGTAGGATTCCCTGGATGATATGTTCGTATTAGCGAAGTTAGTTTTCGTGACATGGCGGTGACTAACGTATACACTCTTAGGCTCTTTTTGTGGTCTAACAATTCTTTTCACTGCGATGTTACCATTTTTGCTTTCTATTTCGTTGTTCTAAAAAATTTTATACAAATTTGTAGCAGGTTTTCGGTATTGAAACTTCTACTTCGGTATGTCAACGTTGGGTTGGAAATTGCTAGGAAGCCATTAATTCAGGTTTTTTTCTTCTTCTTTTTTTTTTTTTTTTTTAATTACGAGCGATATTAATTCTTTAAGCTGGACTGCAGGAGGTGGGAATGTTGTTCTGCAAAACTCTACTGGATGGATCAGAAGTGGTGTGAACAGAGACACATGAATAGAAACTTAATCTATTCACTATGGTATTGTACCTCATGTAATGTACATATACAACCTATATATTTTTTGGCCCACGCTTTTTTATTTATATCATTTCATTCCTCATGTAATAATGTACATATGCAACCTATATATTTTTTGGCCCACTCTTTTTTATTTATATCATTTCATTCTCCCTTAATTTACCATATACTAATTAGAGGTTGAATCAAAAGAAAATGCATAAATCATTTCTCATAGAATAATGCTTACCTACTTAAGCATGAGTAGGAACTCCTATTCAAAATTCTTCGTATTTGAATCACAAAGTTTTATGTTTACAATCAGAACTGTTCATATTATGAATCATATTATAAAGATCATCTTTGTAAAAAATGAATTAAAATTAAGGTTGTTTAGTCTCTTTATTGTAGCAAATACATAGACAGTTTGTAATGCTTGTACCAATTCGTTCATCTGTTTTTATACAGTTCGATGACTAAACGACCTTAGTTTTAATTGAATTTTTGTAGAGGCGTTCTATATAGAGGGATTTATAATATGAACAGTTCTGATCATAGATACAAAGTTGTATAAATTGACAACGAACAATTTTGAGTAGAACTCCTATTCATTCTTTTAAGTCATTCATTCTTTAAGTCACCAAGTATGCGCAAAGGATGAATGGAAGACTTTAGTTTTAGGCACATGGGTACATTAGTCCATCCCATTTTTTTTGACCAATAGCCACTTAGTACTACGGTCTAGTTGTATTCTTCTTCAATGGTAAGTGAGAGGTCTTAGGTTCGATTTTCGCTAAAGATGAATTTGAACCATATTATTGCTAGCCCATTATAAAGCTAAATCCGCCCTCTCCCCTTAGCGTAGATAATATTGATTGTTCAAAAAACAAAAAAACAAAAAATAAAATAAAATATTCTCGTCCAGTAAGTGTTGATAAAAAATTGTTACTCAGTACTATGGTATAGTGATATTCATCTTCACTTGTAAGTGAGATGTCTTATGTTCAAATTTCACGTATGACGATTTCGATACCAAATTAGACTACCTATTGTGTAATTTAGCCAAACTATCCCTCTCTTTCTCGTTTAAAATATATTGTTGTACTTAAAAAAGTATTGGTAAAATGCAAGGAACACATGCAAACTTCAATTTTGACTTATTTTTAGTTGGAGTTTTAAATTCCAGTGGAGGAGCAGGTCGAGATGATCGTGTTTGGCTTGATATCTATGGTAATCCAAATAGGCAGCTTTATGCATTTAGCATGCAGATTTTGTGAGGAAGGAATCTAATCTGCCTTAATTTATTTTGTCAATGGTAGAGTACCTCCTCTTTTTTTTTTTTTTTTTTTTTTTTTTTTTTTTTTTTTTTTTTTGTGGGTTGAAAAATGGGGCTAAAAGTAAGAGCCCAAACAAATCTACTCAAAATTAAATCTAGATCAACACATTCCAAGCTGATACTCACGGATGAAACTACAACAACAACAACAAAGCATTTTCCCACTAAATGGGGTCAACTGATCCTCACAAATGAAACTAACTGAATATGAGGAGTATCAAAATAAAAATTATCTACATCTAACGGACAGAACAATTAATATTGAGCCTTAAAACAGACTAGCATACAAAAAAACCATCATTTATGCAAACATAGTATGAATAATAGTTTTAGTTTCTTTCTACAACATTTGTAGAACAATGAATAAAAGAAAGACTTTTTAGCCAAAATGGTCCATGAGATTTGCATAAATATTCACTTTGGTCCCTGAGATTTGGAATCAATAGAAGTGGTCCCTAAGATTGCTCACCATTAATCATTTTGGTCATTCTGAGAAAAATTATGTAAAATAAGGATCAAAATGACAAAATACCCTCAATTTAATAATCAACATGCCAAAATGATTAGACAAAAATTGAGGGTATTTTTGTCATTTTATTCTTATTTATGGAGATTTTTTTATAGACTTACCAAAATGATTGATTGCGGACAAACTCAATGACCAATTCTATAGATTTCAAATCTTAGGGACCAAAGTGAGAAGTTATGCAAATCTCAGGGACCATTTTGGCTGAAAAACTTAAAAGAAATACATAAACAGGTTTCAACATAGATTAATACTCTGTACAACTAACAGAGACCAAAAAATAACTAGTAGAGAAAACCCTAAAAGCATAAGCGAGGGATGACCTTGCCGTTGCCTGAAAACTAGAAGCGGCCAACGACCAATTCTTACAACAGTCGCTATTTATATATACGTGTACGTGCATGGAGTGTAAACTGCAATCGATCTACATATCAGTTGCGATAACGCATCGATATCGATCATAGGTCTTAATTTTTCCTCATGAGACGCACCAAAGATTCAAAAGATCAAAACTCACCACCAACACCATCGGCTTCAATCTTGACGATCTCCATGATTCCATATTGGTTGAAATCTTTCGTCGGCTTCCCTGTAAATCCGCAGTTCAATGCAAGTGCGTGTGCAAGCGTTGGTGCAGACTTGTTTCTAACAATCCTTGTTTTGATGACCACTTTTTGCGTGTCCAAATTGATAAGCAGAATTACTACATATGTTATCCATACACCAAGCAATGGGATGCCCTTCCCCGCCCTCCTCAATGCACCAACAAATTAAGTAATCGTTGGACTCATGTGCAATCCCTACAACAACCTTGGTGATCGCCGTGTTTGTGAGTATCAATATAGGTATAAGGTGAAGAAAATTGAGGTTCCACTATAAAACCAATTAGCAATATGGGGAGTAACCCAACCTCTTATAAGCCCATGCAAGGTCTCTCCTCCCATCAATACACCCCTCACGTGTGGCGAATTTTCGAGCCTAACATGTGGACAACACAACGGGGTGACGTGGAGCACATGTGGTCGTTTGGCTTCATACGTGGGATAACTTGCTCTGATACCATGTTAACAGAAATGCAGACAAACACATAAATGCAGAAAGAGCATGTATCAAAGAAGAAGAGAGAGAGAGAGAGAGAGTAATTGATTACATTGATACTAAATTGATTTATACAACTATGAGAATACAGTTTATATAGCCATCATGACTAGCTTGCAGCCTAAGCTATTTAACTAACTAATTTGATAACAACTCTAACAATCTTTCGGCACGTGGATATTGTCAACAAAGGGTTGTGCGAATAATTATTATTCCATATGATGATAAAGATGAAAGGTATAATTCATCCCTCGGCCAATTCAAAGCGGAGATTTTTGCTTCCGAGACTCGTAAATGAACAGAAAGAGTAGTGTTATACCCAAAAAAACACAAAATTTTGCGTTGGTAATTTGGTTTCAAGGCAAGTGGCAGTTGTTTTCAATAGAATGTTGTACTTCTTGAGCACCGACGGCTTTGTTATTGGTTTGGATCCCTACTCCAACGACGACAACTGTATCACTCCTCCCGCGAGTCTTACTACTACTTCTACTGGTGGATGCGAAGATGATGGTAAGAACTACACTAATTGTCATTTCATTGATAAGCCTGAAGGTGAAGATGCAGCAACATCTGACTTGCTAGGTGTGTTTAGATGGTCATCAGGACCTTGTATGCGAATGTGCCAGCGTTCAGGTTCCTTTCGTGATCTGTGTGTTTGGGATTACGAGCAACATAATCAGGGTGCAGCAGGCAAATACTATTGGAGCTTAATTGGCAGAGTGAACCTGAAAACAATGGTTACGCTTAATCCGCTCCCATGAAATGGACTCTGGACCGCCGCTTTTATAACATCGTACGTGTGCTTGCTTTCGACCCAAATGATGGGGATATCTTGTATCTAGAATTGTGTCAACACATTATCATGTTCAACGGTGCTGCAGGAACGCTAACCGAAGCTTGGAAAACTAAGGTTTCTTATCATAATCGGGCCGAAGGAGATACTGTCTTCCCATTCGTGCTCCAAGGTGACTGAAACAAGTTCATGGAGAGGTTTTTTAGTGTGACCGTCACACGGAATGGTACATCATGTGTTGCTATATAAATGATAGGATATGTGTTAAAAAATTAATAACTTAAAAAATAAAATTTTCCACCACTTATATAAAAACACGTGGTATACCACCATGTTCCTGTCACAACTAAAAATTTCTCCAGTTCATGGACACAAACAACAGGAGCAAGCTAGCTCAAGTAATTCAAGATTGCCACATTAGCTGCCCTCTCACCCGCCATCACGACTATGCTTGGTCTGAATCTCATGCTAGAGAGACTAAATTTGTAGATAAAATTTTAAAAATTACAGGACGTGAAAGTTGATTGGTTTATTACTTAAGTGTTGATAAACATGCTCATTCCTATGAATAACACATTATTTAGTTTGCAAATTTAATCTTCCTAACATTACCTTAAATTTTGTGTTGTCAAAGTCTCTGTAAATATGTGAGACAACCCACATCATAAAATGCATTTTTTCTCGTTGAATTCGACGAGGAGAAGGCCTGAAGCCCAGAACCGAAAGTCTAATTGTGTAACAGGATAAATTACTCAACCATAATGCCAGCTAAGTATCCTAACGTTTACCATGATGAAATCAAGAAAAATTTTACGTAGTCGATTATGCCTACGAGAAGAGCTGTTATTAACACTTGGATATGTACTTAGGAAAAAAAAAAAAAAGGTAATGTGTGAATATTTTATAGTGTCAATAATATTTTTGGAAAATTCATCTATTCATATCAATAATGTTTTATTTTAGAGGAAATTGTAGCAATAGTCTCTTAATTTTTACCTAATTGGAATAATGGTCCATCAACTAAAAATTCATAACTATTAGTTCCCTAACTTATCAAAATTGCACCTATGGTTATTTTCATTAACTCAGTTAGAACTTCCCTCAAAATGAGTCACGTGCCACGCACGTAAGGCTGAATCAATGGGTAAATATGGAAAACCAAATTAAAACAATTGAAGTAATGTTCCGTCAATTTTAATACAATTCAGAAATGATCCCTCAACTTGAACCTAATTAGAGAAATGACTCCTCAATCTTAATTCAATTGTAGCAACAGGCATTCCAACATGATTTATTTTGACGAAATTCTAACAGAGTTGATGAAAATGACCATAATTGTACATTTTGATGAGTTAATAGATCAATAATCATAAATTTTTAACTAAGAGACCATTACTTCAATAAAAATAAAATTGAGACACCATTTCTACAATTTTCTATTCATTTATGCATAAGTTTGTATCTATTTTCCGTTTCAATGGTATTACATGACTAAGAAGACCACATGGTTCGCCCGTTTAAAATTTAAAAAATTGTACCTTCCTGGCACCGTCTGATCAATGTGATGGTCAACACTTAAACTCATGTTAATTATGGGATGGTTCTATGATTGTCCCTAATCCCAAGGGCAACGTAAAAACACATGTATAGTTTAAAAGTTGGTCACCAGTCGAACTAATCGATTAAACCACGAGAAAAGACAAGGTACCTTCTAATAATTAAAAATGTTATTAAAAGTAAATTAAGAACACGGAAAGTTGGAACCGTGATTGAACATGGTGGAATCAATTGGGTCCCAATCCCATCCTTTTTCTGGGAAAAGGATCTAGGAATCATAGGGATCTTATAATCATGATCGTTAATCGTACATCGTGCGATCATAAATTATTTTAAAATTTAAAATTAAATATAATAGTATTTAATAAAAACTGACTGTACGATGTACAATTAACGGTCACGATCATAGAATCCTTAGGATTAAAAAAAAAAAGGATCCGATGACTATTCTATACCGACGGATTCTCTCCTCTCCCATTTTAATTACCCTCTAGTATACTCTTTTTATTTTTTTTATTTTTTTATTTTTTATTTTGTTAACAAACATATTGTGTAAACTAAGAAGCTGTGAGAGTGGGCTAAGTTTCACAATATACTAGCAATAATATTCAAATTCATATTTGACGAGAATCAAACATAAAACCTCTAACTTCTAGTACCCTTTTATTTGAACGTTCACAATTAAGTCGCGTCAATATTTTTTGTTGCTTTCTTTGTAGAAAGAGAAAGAAAAAAAAAAAAAAAAAAAAAAAAAAAGAAGAAGAGGGGACCAGAGGGTAGGAGAATAACAGGGGAGAAATCCTATTCCTTTTATACCAAGCTATTCTACTCTAAAATAAATATTAGAGCAATTTGATTTTTATCTTGATTGAAAAGTGATTTGATTTACCTGCACATAGCAAACAAAGACCTCTTACTTACAATTCAAAAGTGAAAAAATATCACTAGAGTACAACGTAGCAATGGAGCAAGTTAACTAAGCAACTTAACCCATTATCAACTACGACGGGGTGGACAGTAATTGGAACGATTCTAAGCTTGTATCTGCACGGCACGTCCTGTGTTCGATTGAAATGCCTCTGAGTCTTCTCGGCCTCAAGAAGGGAGAACAGTTGTGAATCCATCAGCTGATCTCCTTTTAAAAAAGAAAACTCATTATCAATATATCTAATTCTCCACATCTATATGAGTCAAACTTGAAATTTCTGCAACAAAAGTGAATTAAGTACCATTAACAAAAAGACCGGTTGGTATAGTATACACATAAAAAAAATGACTAGTTGATATGTTGGAACACCTAATGTTTTTTTTTTTTTTTTTTTTGGATCACCTAATGTTAAGAAAGGTAACCATTATGTTCTTAACCCTAATAGTATAAACATATGGAAAAATTTGTCTTTTAAAGCGTGTCATCCAATGTGACATTGACTCCACTCCACAGGGACTTCAACCAACCAATATTCCTCGATGTGGTAGGTCAAGTCCTTTGCCATTCGACCAAACAATTGTAATCTTCCTGCAAACATCCAGATTCCAAAGGGCCCGAGGCCAAAACACAAACAGTCACCACTCCAGCCTCACAAAATATATATACTTTTCCAATACAACACTGTCGCCTAATTCCGCAACTCTTAGAAAAAGCGAGTCAGAGTCAGCCAAGAGCAGCAGAACGCCGCCTTTGATGCCCATATGCTGACTTAGCCACCTTTACGCGCACCCACATCATTCTTCCTTACCTACTTAAGACTTTTTGTTTGCTGCTAATGAATGCCTGCACTTCTCTGAGTTCATCAATGGGAGTCGATAGAAAAAACCCAGGTACCAGAATTTGTAACTTCTCATTCCTTATTGTTTTCTGCTGGTCTCTCCCTCTGTTTTGCTCTGCGTCGAGTTCGATTTCGCAGGGGCAATCTATAAAAGATGGAGAGAGACTGATCTCGGATGGCGAAATATTCGAACTGGGTTTCTTCAGTCCGGGGAATTCATCGTCCCGGTACGTCGGAATTCGGTATTACAAAATTTCGGACCCGTCAGTGATCTGGGTTGCAAACAGAGAAAACCCAATTTCTGATAAATCTGGAGTCTTGGAATTTAGAAGTGATGGAAATCTGGTTGTTTTGGATGGAAATGGCACCGCTGTTTGGTCTACTAACGCTTCAGCCGCCACTAACTCGACGGCGAGACTCCATGACGAAGGAAGTCTTATTCTTTCCCGCCGCGGCGATGCCAACGTGGTCTATTGGCAGAGCTTTGACGATGCAGCGGACACATTTTTGCCGGGAATGAAAGTTGAGGTGAGTGAAGAGATCGAGAGAATCGGTTTCTGAGTTCGTGGAAGTCGGAAAGTGACCCTTCGGCCGGAGGGTACTCAATGGGGGTTGATCCTCGAGGATCGCCGCAGATTGTGATATGGGTAGGATCAGAACGGCGGTGGAGAAGCGGGCATTGGAACAAGCAGATATTCATTGGACTTCCGAATATGCCAACTACTTATGCATTTGGTTTTAAGCTTAGTGATGAGAATGGGAAACCATATTTTACATACAGATCGTGGAATCCTTCAGATAAGTTGAGGTTTCGGATAAGGTGGGACGGGTACGAAGAGCAGCTGCTGTGGGCGGAAGAGAAGAGCCAGTGGGAAGTGATACAATCTCATCCTAACAAGACCAACCAATGTGAGTTTTACAACAAATGTGGAAGGTTTGGGGTGTGTAGTGCATCTGATGAATCGAGTTCAATTTGCCGTTGTATGCATGGATTTCAACCGAGGAATTTGGATCAATGGACTGGGGGAAATTGGTCGGAAGGGTGTTCTAGGAAAACCCCTTTGCAGTGTCAGAGAAATAGTTCTAATGGAACGGTGGCAAGGGATGAAACAGATGGATTTGTAGCGATAAGGTGTGCCAAGTTGCCGGATTTTGCAGACTTGGTTGTTGCAGTTCCAGGGGAGAGCTGCGAGGAGAAATGTCTCGAGAATTGTGCTTGTACTGCATATGCAATGGTTCAAGGGATTGGTTGTATGATGTGGACCGAAGACTTGATTGATGTCGAACAATTTACAAAGGGAGGAAACACGTTGCATATACGTGTTGCGCATTCAGATTTAGGTAAAGTTCAAATCCATTTTTCTTGTAGTTGGTGCTATTCGATTCAGTTCTTTTCCTAAAATCCATTTGTGTTCATTATTGAGGTTTCTGGTTTTGGCTTTTACTTTCAATACAAGAAAAGGCAAATGGTGAATTTTAGTCACTTCATTTTCCTTAAGTTCTGTTCCATTCAATTGCTGTGATAAAATTTAAACTCATGCATTTCACAGGAAATCAAACCTTCTGCCTTTTGTGGATCATTGAATTCTAAATTTGCCTCGAGGCAAGCTGCAGCAGCGAGTCCATAAAAGATAATCTAAAACGCCTTTGCTTGTTTTCCCATTCCGTTTGAATTGTCCTTTTATCTGGCCAACTCTTCTGCAGCGATTTTTCTTTTAGTCGTATTGCACTCGTAACTTTAGCAGCGCTTGATCTGTTTTTTTTTTGTCATCCATCCAAAAACGAAAAATAAGTTATTGTCTTTTGATTCCATGTCCTTTAATAATATCAAGGCCAAACATGCTTTCTGTGCTGTATATTCAAATCATTGAAAATACAGAACATAGCACGGAAACGGCCAGGAAACTGCTCAAATAACTATTAAATGTTTGAAATTTTACAACTTACAACGCATTATACTGCACTAATCTTTTAATTGATCTCCTTTTATATATAGGTAGCAAGCACAAATTGTCCACCGCTGTGATAGCAGTAATTTCTGTAGCGGGAGCATTGTTCGCTGTCATCATCCTATTGCTTTTGTGGAAGTTTAAAGCAAAATTGAAAGGTAGGACGCACATTTCCATCCTTCTGGTTAATGAGAGGACAAATTTTTTAGTTAACTTAAGAAAACTGGTAACTGTTCCATGATTTATTCTCCTGTCCATTTAGTTTCTAACTTATTTTTCTTCTTTTTGTTATCTAGTGTTGCCCACCACTTCTTCAATTTCATGGTTAAGGGGAGGTGATACATCAACGCTCGATGCTGGAAAGAGAGAAGAATTTTCAACAGATGCTTCAGGATCAGTAAATGTTTATTCAGAAGGGAATCAAGTAAATAGATCCGAATTACGGCTGTTAAATTTGAGTTGTGTAGCAGCTGCTACGAACAACTTTTCTGAAGAAAATAAGCTTGGGAAGGGGGGATTTGGTACTGTCTACAAGGGTAGCCTTCCAGGGCTACCACAAATAGCTGTAAAAAGACTTGCGAGAAGGTCTACTCAAGGATTGGAGGAGTTCAAGAACGAGATTAGTCTGATTGCTAAGTTACAACACAGGAATCTCGTGAGACTTTTGGGCTGCTGCATTGAAGGAGAAGAAAAGATGCTGGTTTATGAATACATGCCAAATAAAAGCTTGGATTTCTTTCTTTTCAGTATGTTCTCTTTCAGCTGATCAAGTGTTCCTTTTCTGATAATTACATATCTGAAGTTTGTTTAACTTAGCAGTTGTCTTTTTGGTAAAATGACAGATCCAGCCAACCAATCACTACTAGATTGGAGAAAACGCTTCACGATTATTGAAGGGATTGCACGAGGGCTCCTTTATCTCCATCGTGATTCAAGACTTAGAATTATTCATCGGGACCTAAAAGCTAGCAACATTTTGCTGGATGAAGATATGATTCCCAAAATTTCAGACTTCGGTATGGCAAGAATATTCGGGGGTAATGAAAATGAAGAAAATACAGCCCGGGTTGTTGGCACATAGTAAGAACAACTTGTCAACACTAATGCAATATAACTTATTTATCTCATGTTAAAATTATCAATCTGATCACAATATGCGTAATGCAGCGGTTATATGTCACCTGAATATGCAATGGAAGGTCTGTTTTCAGTAAAGTCAGATGTCTTTAGCTTTGGTGTATTGCTGCTAGAGATTGTGAGTGGCCGAAGGAACACAAGTTTGCGATCAACGGAACACTTAAGCCTTATTGGATATGTAAGTTATTCTTACATGATGTTTTAATTGCCAAATCCTAGCTACTACTTCTCCAATCAGTAACTACAACAATGGAATATGAATTTTTTGGAACGTTTTCAGGCGTGGCATCTTTGGAACGAGAATCGAGCAGTGGACCTCATTGATCCTTCCATCGCAGAAACATGTTCCCAGAATGAAACTGAATTATTGAGATGCATACATGTAGGGTTGCTGTGTGTGCAAGACTATGCAGCTAGTAGACCAACCATGCCGGCCGTGGTGTTAATGCTGGAAAGTGAAGCTGCAAATCTTCAGTTACCAGTACAACCTATGTTTACTTCAATTAGGAGACACGTGGAAACAAATTTTGGTACAGAAGGCCAGGATGTAGCATCCTCGAACAATGTAACGATTACAATGTTGGAAGGGAGATGATAGTTAATCTTCCTCCATGTTTATATGCTATTCCATCTCCTATGGGGGTTATTAGTAAAATTTGTATAGCCTGTAATTTTTAGTTAAACAATCGTCAGGGGAAAAGTAAATACTAACAACGGAATTCTAAGAGACAGTGAAATTTTGGATTCTGATGACTGTCATACTCAATAGCATCCCTCTTGCACCACCGCCCTTCACTTTCCAATCAGAATCGTATGCGAAAATCACTCTACCAATGTTGCAGATTGCCTTAACATGCTTCTGGAACATTACATCCCTTGAAAAAAATTTAGTCACAAATGAAGTAGGCACCTCAAGGATCAATATCTTGTTCCACACTGGTTTTGATTGAGACGTGTCCGCGTTAATATTGATCAACGGCTGTCAGATGCCCACGAGACATACTAACGGTGGCATTCTAAGATTGTTGCCTGTGCACAGGTTGTGTACGACATATTTCAAAGTTCTCCATGCATGACTTCGAGAGCTCAGTGGAGGGCGGTATGGAGTTGGGAGGCTAATTTTACACTGTTCACAGCACGCTCTCTCATCTCTAGCTAGTCCTGTATTGTAACAATGGCTGCAAAGGTCGAATCCGATTTTCTCGACTAAGACTATGCATTTGTAGACTTCAAATCTTCAATACCTTTTGTACCAGATGAGATTGATTTCAGTCATCTGTTTAATTTAAATAGGAATGATGGATGTAAGGTGATGGGCCCTAATGTATAGTTAGGTGGTGTTAATGCGAATTTCTCTGATAATTATTTAGAATTTGAGTTATATCTTATTTTGTCAAATGATAAAAATAAAAGCATAAATAACATCATGTCATTTTCAATCATTTTACAAAGTCAGATATACCTATAATAAAAGTTTACAAAACATTCCGACATTGGTTTTTTTTGCTAGAAGTACTTTATAATTATAGTTTATCAAACACTTATTTCACAACTACTTATTATCACAGCACAACACAACAAAAGTAGTTTTAAAAAAAGGTACATCAACCCCACACTAGCCCTTAATCTCTCAGAGTTCGTGTAGAATTTTCTTTCATTGTACAAAACACAGTTGCAAGTAATATCATTTACCGAATGAGAGTACAGATTTTTATAATCTCAGCTGCCGAAATAAAACGTGAAACTGCTGAAAGCTTGAGCAAAGTCGATAAACCTCAGCTGCTGAAATAAAACGTGAAACTGCCGAAAGATTAAGTCAAGTCGGTAAATCTCAGCTGTTGGAATAAAACGTGAAAGATGCAGCAATGTCAATAAATCTCAGCTGTTGGAATAAAACGTGACACTGCTGAAAAATGAAGCAAAGTCAGTAAATCTCAGCTGTTGGAATAAAACTTGAAACTGCTGAAAGATGAAGCAAAGATATTGACTTAAGAATGGAAGTCATTTCACTGACAGTGAAGTTTAAGAATAGTCTAGTACGCTTCAAATGCGAATTCACCTGCTATTCATAAAATTCTTTCATCTCAATTTTAGCCCAAAACAGTATTTCAATGTTCCATCGTATTGTATTCCCAGCAATTTTTAACCATTCAGATGCAAATTGGAACCAAAACTAGTGTTAATCCTTTGAATTCCTCCATGTTCTTCCTGTTCTTCTTTAGCTTGCTTCTTCTGTCACGGCACCATTGTGCTGAAGTTTACGAGATAAGTCCTGCACAACCATTATCAGAGGGACAAACTCTTGTCTCCCCCAGCCAGGTTTTCGAAGTGGGATTCTTCAGTCCTAATAATAATTCCGGTAAGAATAAGTACGTGGGGATATGGCACTAGAGTATTTTTCCTCGAAAAGTTGTATGGGTGGCCAACAGAGAAACCGATTGCAGCTTCAGACACCTTGGCAAGTTTGAGAATAAGCAGCAAGGGGAATCTGGAGCATGTAGATGGAAAAAAGAATTCTCTTTGGTCAACGAATATTTTGTTGTGCGGAAGCTTCAAATATGAAACCAAAGCTAATACGGCAAAATATGACAAGACAAATAATCCAAAAAAGAGCACAAGGATTTATACTGGTTCGGCGTAAGCCTACATCCAGTTCCGAGACAGCGAGGAAATTCCACTAATGTCAAAAGGAGATTACAAATAGAGTTTTAACTCTCAAACCTAATAGCCCACATACACCCAATAGCTCTCACTCTCACAAAGAACAAATGAAGAAGATGGAAACATATACCAAATTCCTTCTCTCCCAAAAGCCACAAAATGTAGCACAAATATCTTTGATTGAGTGATCACTAACAAAAGGGGATTACAAACAAATGGGAAGGAGCAGCACTGTTTCAAATGGGAGAGCCGAACGCTCTCTCCTCTGCTCTCTACCACACAACCGAATGGAAGAAAGCAACCAAACCCTCCATTATGAAGGAGCCAAAACTCACGGGTGGTGAAGAGAACAAACACAATAATAAAAGGTGTTGTTGCTTTTCCCTTTTTTTCTCCCCAAAACAAGGAAAGGTGTTGTCCACCTTTGGTTTGTTTATTCTAAAGTATATGGCCACTTGGCCACATAATCCAACAATCTCCACCTTGGCCAAGTTCCGAAAGCATCACAGAGAATCGAATCAACAATCACCATAAGCACCCAAAGTACACACTAAAGACAACGGGAACTAAATCAAATTCCCCAAACTTACCAGTGCTCATAACAATTTCCACCTCGACTCAAACTGTACCAAAGCCAACAAAAGTAGACCATTTCTCTACCGTCTTCTCCAATTTTGCAAACCATAAGTGCCTTGATCAAAACAAAAGGTGATTCCAACGAAGAACTGAGATTCTTCAATATCACCAACAAAAGATCAAGTACACCATACCAAAGTTGGACACACAATGAACTCCACCTGCTCACAAACACCATGGTCTTAAACTGCACCAATAGACTCATTCACATAGCATGGCACATTCTCCAAGTCAAAACTGATTACAAATTTGGCAACAAAGTCTCACATACCACATACGAAAATATGCCCTTCACTCAAGTTTACCATCATCACATGATCACCAACAGGACAACCAAAATTTCAAATTCAAATAATCAGTAGGAGATCCAAAACCATACCTCAACTGGAGTCTTCAAGAAAACTAATTGCAGATGATGGAGACCAACAGACCAAATAGCAGTGGCAAACAAATCCAACCAAATGTCCATAGCCCAAACAAAGTTAGAAAGCATATAACTTGCCTTCTACACGAGGGTTCCACACAAATGTTCCGCAGTGCATGTGGTGTATCCAAAATAGTGTGGTGCCTCACTATCCAAACTTGCAGAACTCAACAAATTGGCCCTCACTGAATTCAACTTTACCAAAAAAAAGCAAAACCATACCAATATCCAAAACAATAAAAAACACCGATGAAGAGCAACTGACATAACACAAACATACATAGAGGCTACTAAGCAACTTTCTCAAATCATAACAAGGAATCCTTATAAACTCTTAAATCTCCATATGTAGTGGAGAGATTTAAGAGTACCCACAACACCAGATTCTCTTTCTTTTTTCTTCAGCAGACCAATCTTGTGGCAAGGCTTCCACACCCTGTAGCGCCTTAAGCAACCCTTGTTGAACTAGCACAGCTCGCATCTTAACCCGCCAAAGGCTAAAATCATTCCTCCCATTGAATTTTTCAATATCATATTTCACCGACATATTCGATGGTTTCATAGACATACTTGTACAAAGCCCCAAGTCGAAACCCAGAGCTCTGATACCACTTGTTGTGCGGAAGCTTCAAATATGAAACCAAAGCTAATACGGCAAAATATGACAAGACAAATAATCCAAAAAAGAGCACAAAGATTTATACTGGTTCGGCGTAAGCCTACATCCAGTTCCGAGACAGCGAGGAAATTCCACTAATGTCAAAAGGAGATTACAAATAGAGTTTTAACTCTCAAACCCAATAGCCCACATACACCCAATAGCTCTCACTCTCACAAAGAACAAATGAAGAAGATGGTAACATATACCAAATTCCTTCTCTCCCAAAAGCCACAAAATGTAGCACAAATATCTTTGATTGAGTGATCACTAACAAAAGGGGATTACAAACAAATGGGAAGGAGCAGCACTGTTTCAAATGGGAGAGCCGAATGCTCTCTCCTCTGCTCTCTACCACACAACCGAATGGAAGAAAGCAACCAAACCCTCCATTATGAAGGAGCCAAAACTCACGGGTGGTGAAGAGAACAAACACAATAATAAAAGGTGTTGTTGCTTTTCCCTTTTTTTCTCCCCAAAACAAGGAAAGGTGTTGTCCACCTTTGGTTTGTTTATTCTAAAGTATATGGCCACTTGGCCACATAATCCAACATATTTCAGTGCCATCTAATGGCTCAGCAGCAGCTCTTTTAGACAGCGGAAACTTTGTCGTAAAAGATGATGATGTAGGAGCTGTTCCATTGTGGCAGAGTTTTGATTATCCTAGTGACACACATCTGCCAGGTATGCTGCTGGGGTTCCATAGCAAATCTGGAGATACGAATTTCCTGACTTCCTGGAAAAGTGAGAGTGATCCATCGACGGGGATATTCTTGGTTGGACTGACACCACACCTGCCATCACAGCTTGTGGTCTGGATTAATGGATCAACTCCCTACTGGAGAAGTGGGCCGTGGGATAAATCAAGTTACATCGGGATACCAGGTACGAATAATGGGCATCTAGATGGACTCAAATTAGATGATAATGTGAGGCAAGAAACAAAGTATAGTTCTTTTAATTTCGGGGACACTTTGGCATACTCAAACATCTCTTCAGATGGTATACTTAAGCTTATGTATTCGGAACATGGAGAGAACTGGATTCTTGCCTTTGTAGCACAGAACAATTCATGTGATAAATAGGCAGCATGTGGACCTTTCGGGACTTGCAAACGTTCTGAATCTCCAACAACTCCAATATGCAAGTGTTTGAATGGGTTTGTACCGAAGTCACACGAGGAATGGAGCAAAGGAAACAGGACAGGAGGGTGTGTGAGGCAAACCAAACTGGTTTGTGAGACTAATACAAACCAGTCAGTTGCTTCGAGAAAAACTGAAGACGGGTTTCTGAAGATGGTGTGGTTAAAAGTACCAGATTTTCATAAATATA